AACGGGCGGCACAGCACGGCCAAACGGCCCACGGGCCATGCCTTGGGCCGGAGGCCAGCCACGAGCACGCCATAGGCACGGCACGGCCGGCATGGTGGCCCGGTGAGGCATGACGCCGCGTCGGGCCGGCATGGCCCGATGGCCATCTATATCCCCATGTGATGGACCGATCCCTGGCTTGCAGGGACGAAGCGAAAAATTTTTAGGAAGGACTGAACAAAAGAATAGAGGCTTTTTTATCTTCTCTTAACCTTAGCCCCTCCTACCTAATATATATATGCATTAAATTTTAAGGGATGGCTTCCACACACACAAGGCATGCACGATTCTCCCCCACGTGACCTGATCTCTTGCGTGCTAGCTCTACTTAAACCTACTGCAGCTCAATTTCTTGAGCGATCATGTATTTGAACTAGCCAAGCTGAGCCAACTCATTACCGGAACATGCAGCTTTAAATCATAATCTCGCTATCATGTATACTGGGTTTTTCTTTTTAGCATGAGGCTGGGGACCCTGGGCCTTCTTCTTTTTCTCTTTTGAGCGGTCGCCGGGCCTGGATAGTTTTTTCTTACGATAATGATACGTCGAGGATGTCTGTCCATCTGGACGGACTCCGACCCGCCCGTAGCTATACGTATAGTCCGCATGGGTGCCTTGAAAAATATCAGCCACCGCTCCGCTCTCTCGTTCGCATGCATGCCTTGGAAAATATCAGCCACTGCTCCTCTCTCTTGTCCGCATGCGTACCTTGGAAAATATCAGTCACTGCTCCTCTCTCTCGTCTGCATGCGTGTCTTGGAAAATATGAGCCACTGCTCCTCTCTGGTGCCTCCTGCCTCCGCTTTTCTCTCTCTCGTGCCTCCAGCGCCACTCCCTCCGTCTCTCTCCATGCGGTGCGAGTGAGCATCCCGGTGCAGTAGCCTCGACGTGGCCTCAGCCCGAGCGGGCCATGACATGTATGTTCTAAATGTTTCATCTGTTTTCAGTCTTATGTTGCAGCAGGTGTTTTCATGTTGTAAGTTGCAAGTGTTTTATCTGGATGTTGCATATGTTGAAGTGGCTATATACGTATTTGCAAGCGTATGTTCCAAATGTTCAGTTGTTTTAGACGTACGTTGCAACTGTTTTATATGGATGTTACATATGTTGCAGTGACTATACACATATGTTGTATGCTTATGTTTCAAATGGTTTACCTATTTCAAAAGTATTTTGCGGCAAATGCTTCATGTTGCAAGTGTTTTCATTAGCAGGGGAGGGAAGCGAACACAGGTGGAGAAAGTCCCCGCGTGCATGCGCAGCAGGAGGCGCGGGTGCATAGCAAAGATAGGCGTGCAATGAAGATGCAAGCAAGCGGCAGTCTGTGTGCTGCAAAGAAGACTTCTATGAAAGCAAAGATGCCAAGTATGTGGGCAGGTGTTCGGACACGAGCAACAGAGAGAGAGAGGGAGGGAGTAGCAGGCGCAGACGAGTAGCATGCGAAGTACGCGAGCCGCATACGGGTAGGCACGAGCATCCGAATGGGGCAGGAGCGGGCGTTCAGACGGATGCTAGCGTCCGGACGTTCGGGCGCTAGCCATGCTCTTTTTCTTAAGGATGGCAAGAGGAATAGCTACCTAAAAAGGGATGAAACCAGATTGAATACAGACGGATATCAGTGATCCTACATTATATCCCATATTTTTGTTAGATCTAGTAACCGGATACGAATCATGTCAGATATTGATATCTATCTCATAATACATATAAAAAAATCTGATTTTGAGTGTTCGGATTCGGATACGGTGCGAAGGTTAAATGTTTGAGTTAAGATATGAACTATCCTTTTAAGGTTTTGACCCTTTCAATTTTCATTCGTGTAAAACGAAAAGTGGGTGCGAAAAGTTCTTTTTTCTTTTGGTCATTATCAAGAACAAATAGGGGATCATCTTCGCAACAGGAAGAGAATAGTATCCCAAAATATGCATGGCCGGCCCAGGGCCGCTCCTGAATTTTTAGGGGCCCAGGGCGAAACAAAAAAATGGGGCCCTTATGTACACATGAACCACGGAACTCTTTTGGGTATTCGAGAAAAAAACACATGAACGACGCCGTAGCCACCGTGACGCACGACTTCAGCAAGGAGATGTTGCGATGGAAGCGCATGTTGCAAGCGTATATTTCAAGTGTTTTAGACGTTTCAGAGGTATGTTGCAATTGTTTTATATGGATGTTGCAAAAGTAGATCAGGGATGTTGCACATATTGCAAGTGTTTAAGAGGTATGTTGTAATTGTTTCATATGGATGTTGCAAGTACATTAGGGATGTTGCACATATTGCAAGTGTTTTAGAGGCATGTTGCAAGTGTTTCAGAGATGTTGTTCAAAATGTTTCATTTATTCCAGACGCATGTTACGAGCGTTCTGATCTAGATGTTGCACATGTTTCGTACATTTGTTGCAAGAATATGTTTGAAATGTTTTAACTGTTTCAGGCTTATTACGAGGGCGGTGCGCGTGCGGGACGAGGCGGGCGGCTTCAAATCTAGGCGGACATGGCGTGCTGCGGGGGGCGAGGCGAGTCGTCTAGACGAGCGGGCGTTGCAACAGGGCCGGTGCGCGTGTGGGGTAGGAATAAAAATCAGCATCAGCGCACGGGGACTGACTACGCAGGCGTCCTCATTGGAGTCTCAGTCCGAGTTGGCCGCCCGCCGCGGTGCCGCCGTTGAGTTGGCTGATCGCCTTGCAGTTGCTGCGTTGTGTTCGGGATTTGTGATTTGGTTCCGAGATGAGAAGTCGCAGTTGCAGAGTCGACAAACAAATCGCGAACGCTAACCTGCTAGGCTGTCGAGCCAACCAAGCCATATACTATACAACTACGTACTGAGTGTATACCTAAGGTGGGGGCCCATGGGATGGGGGGCCCGGGCGCCGCCCTTGCCCGCCGTGGGCCAGCCCTTGGCTGCCTTAAAAATTGCACGATATCTTCATCTTAGATGTTGTTTGATTCGAGCATTTTTTCGACATGATTCGATCACCGTTCTAATAGTAATCCTTTTTATTTGCTTCACCATGGACGCGATCCGATCACACCGTGAACTGATAGTCGATTATGTCCTCATCGTCTCCGGACGATTTTGTCATGCTCCACGGCTCCACGCACAAGTGAACGGGTGATCCTCCCCGCGCGCACCCTGTGTCTTCTTGAGCCCATGAATAGAAAGCTCAATTGTGACTTGGGTAACAATCCACACTAGTTAGTTACTAGAGTGTCAAAGGTATACGTATGTGCTTATTATTTAAGGTTTTGTTTATTTATTTATGAACTCTTATAACACAGTTTCACGTTAGGAACAGAAAGATAGCAGGCCCACGCCAATACACACAAGAGGATCCAGGCCCATAGTCTTGTGAGATCAGTTAAACTACGATTGGGCCCAACTTTAGCCCATTTAAAGTCAGTCGGGGCATTTCTAGCAGACTCAGAAAGATAGCAGGCCCGCCTGATCCATGGACGATCAGAGAAGCCGCGGCATGAGCGTCCTCCCTCCTCTGGCGCCTGGCGGTCTGGCCTGAGTGGCGAGGCATGGCACCGCATCAGCATCGCGCGCGTGCCGATGAGCCGGGGATGCAGGTGGACGCCGCGCGCCCTGCAGGCAGACGTGCTTGGCCTCCGCTACGTACCTTCTCTGCGCCAGCCTCTTCTGTCCGCATGCGACGGGGACCGCCCGTAAGGTGTTCGGCGTAATGCCTTTGCCGGCCAAGATCATGCGATTTGGCTGCCCCGTCCTTCCTTCGGTGGAGTCCATTCACTAAATCAGGTATTGTTTTGCTTTCTAGGTAGGTGCATTGTATTGTAGTGGCGATTCAGAAGTGGGGCGCTGCTAAGATTCGAGCAGATGGCCACATGTAGTCATGCACGGTGGTGTTTGCTCGAGTGTTCTCGCACCAGTGCTGCTCCATGCTCATGGGCAGTTATGGCCTTCTGGAGAGCAACCCGCTCAAGGTCGACATCCACATATCCGATTCGCTGTGAGCCCCAACTCTTTCCTACCATTTTTATTGTTGTCAAGTTCATTTTTGTCTATTTCTGGTGTCACGATTTTCCTCTGCTCACACAGATGGATCATCGATTGCTCTTGTTTGGACCTGTTCCTGTTTCCCAACATGTTGACTTAGGCTACTGGTGGTGTTAGTGTTACCAACCACTTACCACTCATTGTTGTGATAATTTGAGATCACAATTGTAGTACACATAGGTAAGATGCCACTATCTGAACTAAAATTATTTGTCTGCAAGTACCATTCATGTGTCTGAACAACTAGGCCCAGCATCAACATGCTTAGTATCAACTTTCTGCAACTAGCTTTTCCATCCCCAGACAAGGGGATGACAAGGGATAATAAAATTGCTCTAGGTACCAATCAAGTGCACACCGATGTACAAATGAGACCATTTGCTCAGTAAATGATTGACTGGAACACTACTTCTGCCACTGCAGTTTGGAAGATAAGTAAAGATAGAATCCAGATTTGCATATGCTTAATCGGCATAAACCTCTGCTTCAAGGACCTTGCTAGGCCACAACAATGCAAGAACTAGTGAAGTATGTACTATATATAATACGGTTAGACAGGTACCTATAATATATGACACACACTTCTTCATCAATTCAGAAAACATTAAGTATATAATATATCACACGGTGTATGCGCACAAGCATCGCGCTTATTACATGATTGGAACCAAGCATTCCGCAGCATGATGGTTCACAGGAAAGCCACACAAATCCAATTTCAAATCCAAACATGTGAGCACAAACCTCTACGCTCAACCACAACCACTAGGCAGATTAACTTAGAAAACAGACACACTTAGCTGACACATATGTACAATACTCATTCGCAGGTAGAAAAACACAAACAAGCAGAACATATGACAAACCACACGAGCACACACAAACCACACCAAGGCACTCGATAATGAATGGATATAAGGAGAGGCTCCTTGAGCTCAGTGTCAGACCTTTTTCTTCCAGCAGAACGGGAACCTTGCATCATCATCTTCATCTTCTGCTATTGCATCTCCTTTCTCTTGTTCCTGATTTTTTGGTTTGTTGTGTTTAAAGTCAAAACCAGGTCTTTCCTTAAGTTTGTTAATGGCTTCTTCCACCTCAAAACGGACAGGGCCCCCGTTGAATTCAAGCTCCTTCAGTTTTGGAAGGTTGTTAATGCCAGAGAGAGACTGCATGTTGGTGAAGGTCCACACAATCTTCTGGAGAGAAAGAGCTGATCTTGTAGTGAAGTTGATCTCTGTGATATCAGAGCAGTTGACAATAAGAGTGTTGAGCTTCTGGAACTCATTTTCGTTGAAAGTAAGCTGACTTCCACAACGTGTGTCCAAGAGCTCTAGGCTGCGCACATTTGGTTTCTTGGCGAGGATACGTAGATTGGCTTGCTCCAGCAATGTACCACGAAGAGTCAGCTTGGTTATTTGTTCAGCATTGTCAATTGATGAAAGCAAACTGCTGCTTGTATTATTGCTGAACTCAAGCTCCTCCAGTTTTGGAAGGCCTTCAACACCAGAAACACGCTCTATGTTGGTCGAAGACAAAATGATCTTCTTGAGCTCAGTAGTTGCTCCTTCCTCGAACATGATTTCTGTCAGGCTGGAGCCCTGAAGAAGAAAGTAATTGAGCTTTTGGAATTCATTCTTCTTGAAGGTGAGCACGCTCTCAGTGCAATCAATCTTTTCAAGCTTGAGACAGAGTAACACCGTCAGTTTAGCAAGGACCTTAAGATCTTCCTGGTTCAGCGAGGTGCTACTTAGAGTAACCTTGGCAAGTTGATGATGATGATCTTTGGCCAACAATGGAAGCAGCCGCCCCTTTTGTGTGGTTCCACTGACACTTAGGCTCTCGAGAAGCTTAGGAGGGTATCTCAGGAGAGAGGCTGGTAACTCTTCACTGGAAGGAGTGCCCTCATATCCGGTTGTGTGAAAAGTGATTGATAAAGACAGGAGGCTCTCATGCAGGTCACTGATTGCTCGAAGCAAATTCCTTAGGTGACGGTTCTTGTCTTCAACAACAATACCGAGCTTCTGCAGCTTCCATGGCTTTCCAATGTCAACCAAGTCTCTGCCAGTGCCAATCAGTGAAGCCTTGACATTAGACAATACTTCCACATTTACCATTTTTCCGATCTTGTGAGGAATCCGTACACCAGAACCATTGTTAGCAGCTAGTAAACGCTTCAGCTTAAGGAGCATGAGATTTTTTGTTTCAAATGCAGGCACCATCGTCTGTCGAATATCCAATACCTCCAATTCGTGGAGGTCGTTGATTTTCTAGGCAACCGGGTAACATCTGTTCCCCTTAGGCTCAAGTACTTGAGTAGTAATATATTGCTGCAGATTTCATCGAGGTAGTTCTTCTTCTTGAAGCACTGACAACTTTCCAGATCAAGCACCTTGAGCATGGACCATTTAGATGATTTAGAGATACTTTGCAAGAAAGTCTCGATTTTATCAGAACCTCGGAGTTCAATATCATTGAAAATGGAGAAGTGACGAGCCAAGTGATGTGACAAGCGTGTCTCCACAATGTGTTGTTTCCTGGCAATCTTGGTAATGAATCCGTGAACTAGATCACCTACCATGCAGCTCTTGACCTTGCCTGAAGCACTAATATCACCGGGGTAAAGAAGCCACCGGTCAATGAGCATGTCAAAACATCGCTCAGCTTGATGGACTGAAGTGGGCCAATCTTCCTTAGTTATCAACCCCTCCACGACCCACCGTCCTATCAAGGTTGACCGCCTGATTTTGTGACCTTGAGGGAAGATAGCAAGATACAATAAGCAGGACCTGTGTTCTTTAGGCATGTCGTTGTATGAGAACTTGAACATCTTCTTAGCAACACGTTCCAATGATTTTGGTGAAACCTGCAGGGAGATGTGCAACTTGTGCAGTTCTTCAATGCTCCTCTTGGGCTTGGCTTACAAAGCATGAGCGAAGATCTTCATGCATAACTCATATGGCTCACACTCATCCAAGATGTCCCGAAGGACCTGGCTTTTCTTGCAATAGTCTCCATCTTTCTGCTGGCTTGTAAGCTTGAGCACTGTATCCTGATAGAGGCCAGCAAGAGTATAGTATATGGGTTCCTGCTGTGGATAGCAATATTCTTTAGCTTGCTGGGTGTTCTTTGTGTTGGTGATGATCAATGCATCAGCATCACATTGTAAGAGGTTCAAAGCATTTCTGGTCTCCTTCCATTTGGATCCATCCATCTCGTGATCATCAATTTTGAGGATAATTAGGGGTGTTTTGTCCTTCAAGTGATCTTTAATCCTGTTCACGATGCCTTGTATCTGCATCTGCTTTTTAAGCTCCACGTTGATGCTTTCGATCTTGTGCATGATTTCTTCAACCTCATATTCTGGAATTTGACCCAGATTACTCCGTTCACTTGTTGCTTGATTCTTGTCAGATTTGCCTTCCTGAAGCTCTTGTAAGATTTCTTGTTTAGCCTCATGGATCATCTGCTTGATTTGATGCTCCCCCAGTGTTTTTGCTGTAGTCTTTGTGGCTTCTTTGGTCTGCAGAGGCTTGCTATTGCTGGTCGCTGGAAACACATCTAGCAGAATGCGCTCATATTGGGAATCTTCGAGACAAATGGGTTCTGTCTGCTGTTGCGCTTTTGCTGCTCCTTCTTCTACTTCCATTATCCTTTTAAGCTTGTTAGCTGTTTTTTGATAATGTTGTCATACGACGCTGCTAATTTATTCATGACTTTGTTCCTTACATGGCCTTGTTGAGCCGCTGCTCCTTCTTCTACTTCCATTATCCTTTTAAGCTTGTTAGCTGTTTCTTTGATAATGTTGTCATACGACGCTGCTAATTTATTCATGACTTTGTTCCTTACATGGCCTTGTTGAGCCACAGCAGCAGCTGCAGCTGACTGGAGGAGCAGCGGGAGGAGTAACTCTAGCTCTAACTTTTTCAGGTCCTCCAGCTGGTCCACGCCCTTCTTCATCGGTTGCCCCTCTCGGATACCTTTCTCGATCTTTTCTAGCTTCTGGTAAACCTTCATTCTTGCAATACTGGTCTTGATTTCACCAAGCAGCCTCTTTTTTCCGTCCTTTATTTCCAGTCTTGTGTAGCCAGCATCTAGCCAGTCCAAATGCCGCTCCTCCTCCTCCTCCTCATTGCCTGGACAGCCTGTGCCTTGCAGCTGCTGGGTCTGGGATTGGGGCTTGGCATGCTGGAGCTCCCGAAGGATGTAGTAAAGAATCTCCTTGGGCCGTAGCGGTGCAAACTTTTGGTGCACTGCCGGGATGTCCACAAAGATACTTCGATGGTAATATGTCCCTGGCACAACCAAAGTTTCGTGTGCAAGAGTGAAGGCGTCCTTGTGTGAATCCGGTGCCGCCACAATGGCCAAGGACGCCGGCAGCATGATCTCTTGTTTAGCAACCTTGTGTATCCACTCCCGAAGCTTCCTCTGGAAGTAGTCATCCAGAGTGGGAGGCTCCAGCAGGAAGCAGCCTGATCTCCGGCGACGAGGATGATCAGTCGTGGCTGCCATTACCAGCTGGTGATGGTGACCATCGCCGTCGTCTTCATCGTCGTCTCTGGCATGGCCACGTGACGCTGAAGCAGGTGCAAGTGCAACCACCTGCGCCGATGATGACGGCGATGGCGTCGCAGGAGGTGACTGGTGGTGGTGGTCCGCCGGTGCCGCCGTTGCTGGGACCTTCACTCCGTACCTCAGCCTCCGCTCGCCGACGTCGCGAGCCCTGTCCCTGAGCTCACGCAGCTGGACCGCCGCCCGGTGCTGCGCGGCCATCTTGCGCACGAACCAGGGAAGCCACCAGACGTAGCGCCTGAGGCCGCCCCTGGCGCGGTGGATCTCCGGGTTGCCGCGGTACAGGTAGAGGTCGATGCGGTTGTTGCAGTCCTGGGCGAGGAGGCGGACCTGGCTCATCCACGTCCGGACTTGCTCGTCGTGCTCGCCGTCGGGAGGTTCCGTCCTGGCCAAGTGTGCCAGGAAGCTGTTCATGCTCTCCATCTCCTCCTTGATGAACTGCACGTCGCCCCGGACGCGCCCTAGCAGCTGAAACTCGTTCCGGATCACGCCCAGCAGCGAGGTTACGGCGCCCGATGCGAGCTCAGCCATGGCTCCGTCGTCACCGGCCGGCCGCGGCGGGACGGACGGCTAGAAGATGTATAGTTCAATTGGTTTAGCGAGGATACGTAGGCTGCCAGCTAGGGTTGGCCATCACAGCCCATGCGCATGAATGTGTGTGCGCGTCGGCAGCCGGTGGCATAAGGCTTTGCTCTTTGACGTATGCTACGTGGAAAACCGCCAAGGCAAGCAAGCATCTACCACTGGTTACTCCATTCTGAAATACTAATACAATGTAGCATGCCAAGATTTTTTTTTTTTTTTTGCCCTCAAGGGCATGTGCTCTCACCACCTTCACCATTGAATTCACATTGAGAAATGTGCACAAACACATCTCAATGCAGATTCGCATTGAGATTTGTGTGAACGGTGGAGATGGTGAGAGCACATGTCCTTAAGAGCACATTTAACTTTACCCAATTCTAGATTTATAGGACTTTTCTTTTTTAACCGGAGGTTTCCCTCATTTTCAATAAATTCATAACGGAAATACATTGACCATGCATAGGTAGCAAAGAGTTATCAGAGTAAGAAGGGACAGCTAAGAAGCTGGCTACTAGATTTCTAGGACATATTAGAGGTAAAACAAATAATGCGCACAACTCTATCTAGCCTTAACGTATTTTAATTATCATACTTGTGTTGGTGATAGACACCACTGGTAGATATGCATGTAGATTCTATCTTTTCAAACTTAGAGTTACTTCACCTATACAAAATTTGTTATAATACATATCCAACGGTGCACAACAGAAGAGCGTATGCCCTCAAAGGCAAATTTTACTTTCTCGGACACGTAGTAGCTCTCAACACGTAGTCCACTTGTTTTGTTCTTTTATTTGTTTTCTTTACTTTTGGTATGAAGGTTTAGGGCCTCTTTGGCATGGCTCATAGGGCTCCGGCTTCATCTGCATGTGTACTGTTAAACCATGTGCATCACTGTAGAGAGGAGCCCTTCTATCGATATGAATCAAAAATTGAGCTGCTGAATGAAGGAGCCAGCGGAGCTGGTTTTTGAGGCTTCAACTGGCTCCATGCTACAGGACAGCTACAGGAGTTCTACAGTTGAGGAGCCGGAGCACCACCAAATGGCCCCTTAATTAAAGCAAGCTGCAGGTGCAGGGGCTTCATGCCTACTTCTACTTTGGCTCATTTGATTCCGACACGCTACATCCAAGCAATGTGATACATTCCTTCGGTTCATTTGTTCCTTCTGTCATTCGGAAGCAGATCAGAGGAACATCATCATTTGATAGCTTTCTCTGACATGATTTTGCCGGGGAACTTAATTCTGTTCCACGCACAAGTCTGTGACCGATTCTCCCAGCTCTGCACCCTGTTCAATTCTTCCTAAGCAGCAGCATCAGCCAAAATTTAGCGAAACGAACAGAGCCGTCCGGCTGATAAAGATAATAGTTTAAGTTAACATAGTTACGACTTTATTATCAGATCTCAAATGTATTTGTTCTCCTCCATAGTCCTTTTTCTTTATTTTGATTTTGGTTACAAGAAGACGCACTCCACACTTGCACACTCATAAGTACGTTTCGATCAGATGATCGAATACAGCTTCTGCTAGCGCTCGTGGGTATCAGGATTCAAATTTCATTTTGGTGGATGTAGATAGTTGTACGTACACCTCCCAACTCCAATACGTTACTTAGATGTTGTTCTTGTTGTTTAAAAATCCTGTCTATACATATTAATTAGAGTAAAAATAAACTAATTTTCACTTCAACCAATATGTTTAGATTGGAGCTGGGATTAGAGGATTATGATATTATCGTTTCCCGAATGAGACCTGATGGTTGCATTGTTTACAAGCCTCTTTGGCGTAACTCCAGCTCCGGAGATCTTTGAGGATTCATCTCAATCCACATGTGTTGGGGTGAAATTTAGTTTAAGTTTTACTCAATACATGTGGATTGATGCGAATCCGACTACATCCAAATAAGGCCTGACTGATTTATAGTCTGCATAATATAACAAAGTGGTTTAAATATATATGTTTAGATCAGAATAGTATCAAGATTGTTTAATTAAATCCTTTAATGTGCACATTGCTCTAGCGACGAGGAATTTGTAAAGCTAGGAATGACAGCTCCCATCCTTGTAGGATTAAGGACAACTATATTTTTTTACGAAGGAAGCTTTTATTGATTTTCAAGATTTTTACTTCAAAGGACAACTATATAAGCACTGAAAAGTAATAATAATCAATCAATTGAGAAAAATGATTCGTTGTGCTACTTAAGCCGCCTCGTAGTCTTTTTAGAAGTACCTATAATTGGAGAGGCATCTACCTTTCTTACGTCTTGTTTAGTTTTAGGGTGTAAAGTTTTGAGCTATCACATCAGGGTATCACATGGGGTGTTCGGATACTAATACAAAATAAATTACAGAATCCGTCAGTAAACCACGAGACGAATTTATTAAGCCTAATTAATCCGCCACTAGCACATGTGTTACTGTAGCACTATATTGTCAAATCATGCACTAATTAGGCTTAAAAGATTCGTCTCGCAAAGTGATCGCAATATGTGTAATTAGTTATTTTTTAGTCTATATTTAATACTTCATGCATGTGTCAAACATTCGATGAGATATGATATAAACTTTTAGGGAAGAAACTAAACAAGGTCTTAGACGTCTCTTGTTTGCTCTAGAGATGCTTGTGTTTGGTTTTGGAACGAGAAGGGACGACTCCATCTCAGGTTGTAGGATGGGATTATATCCGTCTATGTTCAGTTAGGATACGAGGACGATTTTGTTTTGCGTTTAGTGCGAGGGATGGAGAAACAGAGTATATAGGGTCATTTGAGATCAGGTAGAGAAATAGTCAAAGTGGGGTCCAGATATTAGTCTCTTTCTCCGTTTTCTCTTCCCCTGCGGCCTGCTTTCTCGACGCGGGCCTCTCCGTCGGCTGCCTCCTTAGTCCTGATCCTGATCCCGGTCCCCACCCCCGTTCTCGGCTGCCCCGTCAGTCCCGATCCAGTCCCCACCCCCGTTCTGTCCACCCCCGCCTTGGGCATGGAGTCTGCTGTCTGCCCGAGGCTCGTATTGGCCCCGCACTGTGTTGTCGTGCTTGCTATTATTGTTAAACATTTGTGATACGACGCTGCATCACACTCTCACCTCACCTGTAACAGAATGCTCAATCAAATTAATGAGAGCTTTTTTTGCGATTGCACACACTCACAACGCACGCACACTCATTCCTATGAACGCATGCACACAAACTCTACCCTTATGAGCAATCTTCAAAGAATGAAAAGATTGACAAAGTCACCATAGACACATCATTGACGACGGGATCATCACCTACCACTCACCTTTATGAAGGCACATATACAAAATCTATCCATATGAGCATCTTCAAAAACTAGACCAGCAAATCCTTGAGATTGACGAAGTTACCATCGACACCTCACTGTCGACGGGATCGTCGTCTACCACTAAAGCACAACGCTGTTAAATCTTAGAAAATTCGCTACCACATGGAGTCGAACCCGGAACCTGAGGTGCTACTAAGTCTTTGAGTAAAATGCACTGTAGGTCCTCAAACTATTGGCTCCTTCCCATCTACGTCCTCAAACTATTAAACCAACTATCTAGGTCCCTGATCTATTTCCGCGGCACACGCACGGTCCAGATGCAGCCACATCAGCCACATAATCCAACGTGGTCGTGCCAGAGTGGCAGATGAAGGGCGAGGTCATCGCATTTTATCAACCCCCCCCCCGCGAACGTTGTCTTCCTTACTTTCAACTGCAGCCACCCTTTCCCCCAATCTTTGTCAGCCGAGAGAAGGCAAGGGCGGGCCGGGGCGACGGTGAACTCGCGGGTAGGGAGAGATCACTAGGGCGGGCCGGGGCTGCGGCGAACTCGCGGCCCCACCAACGTCGGTGTCAACGAGCTCCGCGGTGGGTGCCGCCCGGCCGCACAAATTGCGGCGCGGCGGCACCATGGCAGGCCGTCGATGATTGAAAGGGGAGCTGGCTCCAACCTATGGTAAGTGCCCTAGAGTTGTATCCTATACTCAATGCTATCTGTGCCAGATCAATTTGGAGGCGTAGTAGTTGGTCTGGTAGGCTTGCTTGATATGCTCCGATTCGGTGCTTAATTTTAGGGTTGTTTTTCGTTCTTTCGGGCCTGACGATGAAGAATTTTCTGTGGAAGTGCATCATAATGGATTTTTCTGTGGGTCTGGTGTTGATCGAGTGTACCTCGATGGCAAGGTCGATTGGTTCGACAATATCAAAGTGCAGTACTGGTCTTTTAATGCAGTAGATGAGATATCAGTGGTGCTAGGTTATGATCTGGGTGTTCCAGTGTGGTGGTTGTTGCCTGAGCAGGACTTGTCAGCCGGTTTGCGTTTGATTGCATCAGATAAAGAAGCACAGATAATGAAGCAAGTTGCATTTAAGGTCAAGAATTATGTGCTTTATATGGACCATTACAATACTGTTGATGGCAACAACTGGGAGGACATTGTGTACAACACAATTGCAACCTTACCCAAGGTGCCTGCCCCTGCTAGGACAGAATGTGCTGATGGTGATGACAGTGATGACAGTGAATGCAGTTCAGATGTTGATTTTGTTGACAGTGACTATGCAGTTCGAGATGATGATGATGACCTTTTTTGTGATGATGTTGATGAAGGTGTGGTTGATGAGGGTGCTGCAAAGGGGATAATGGTCAGAGCAGGGAGGAAAAGATTTGGCCCAGTAGACAATGAACCAGTAGGCAAAGAATGGGATGAGTTGGACTCTGATGAAGAAGAATTAGAGCTACCAGAATCTGGTGAAGAGGGTAGGGCTGGGTAGAACATGAGAAGTTTCAGACCTGAAGATTTGCAGAACCCAATTTTCAAAGTTGGCATGAAGTTTGATTCAGTAGAGATGCTTAGAAAGACAATTACTGAATATAGTATCAAGAATAGAGTGGAGATAAAGATGCCCAAGAATGATAGGACTAGAATCAAAGCT